TACTAGTCATAATCGGTTGCACTTGGATCCTTGGCGCCTGTGTATGGTAATGTTTATCACCTCTACTAATTAACATGATATAAATGTCCATGCTTCCTCCTCAAATATAATATTTTTTAAAATTTGTTGATTTTGTGTGTGTGTGTGTGTGTATATCACACAGAACATCCCAAACCATCGTATTCAACTATACATGCACTTCCCAGATCGCACCCTGCCGTAGCCTCCCTCCCCACACTAGAGCCCTTATACTCTAATATCCCTGCTACTGTCTGCTGTATTGTCGGCACCCCAGCCATTCCCCACTACTTGTCCATCTGGTGAATCTAATGAGCCTATCTAGGGGTCTTTGTTTTAGGAAGGTCAGCTGTTCCTCATCTAACAGCAATCAGTTGTCAATATTCCTTTAGATAAGACTGGGATCTGTTGTTCATTTTCCCAGTTCTATCCTCGGTTGCTATCTGGGAGTCTCTTTGGCCACCCTGGCCAACAACTCAAAAGAAAGCATCTCCTATCTGGCATTGTTGCTTGTTATGTAGCCTTTAGCTATGCATATGGACTCTTAAAGAAATTATATCGGTTCCTTTAATCTTTGGTTATACTTTCCTTTTGGGTGTTTAAGGGCATACAGTTGGTCCAGATAAACCAATTATTTTTTACTCTTAAGGTCGTATGAGGATCTGTTACTCAGGGGTCACATGGGCTTGGGCAGAGCCCCTGGCTCCTTTCTTTTACCAGTTCTGCCTATGTGAAGATAAGTCAAAGGACCTGCTCAACCATGGTTGGCTTCACTTGGAAGCATGGAGGAAATGATACCTCTGTGTTGACCCTCCTCTTTGTAGACTAGACATTGGTTCAAGTCCGTCTGGTGGGGTCTCCTCAGCCTCCTTGATAAAGAGAACAGGTGACCCACCACCATTACAGGACATTTTGAGAGATGCTCATAGTCCCCTGGAACTAGTCGACCTAGGAGGGCAAGGAGAAAAAAGTATCCTTTATGTCCCTCTGACCAAATTATTATAGACCTCAAAGTATGTCTGTTAAACATCCAAGAAGGTTAGTTCCACCAGTCTGCTGCTTTTAATTACTGTGTCTCATTTAGATAAATCTTGGGCAAAGACCAATTGTTCTCAGATAAATCTTACCTAGACATATATTTCTTGATCTGCTATGTATAATTTGTCAGTAGGTTGTTGGAGTAATATGGTTCCCTCTGGTTTTTAAAACTAGCTTGGCATTATTTATTTTTCCCATTGTCTCACCTCTCCATCATTTCTGCACCAAAGATGCCCCCATTTCCTGAGAAACTGATGTCTGGTTTAGAAAATCCTTTCCTACACCTGTATCTTGTAGGTGTTTCCCAAAGTTTTCTTCTAACAGTTTCAGAGTTTCAGGCTTTACATTGAGGTCTCTTATCCATTTGGAATTGACTTTTGTGCAGGGTGAAAGATAGGGGTTTAGTTTCATTCTTCTACAGGTGGAGATCCAGTTTTGCCAGCACCATTTGCAGAACATGCTGTCTATCCTCCAGTGAATATTCTTCGCCCCTTTGTCAAATATCAGGTGGCTGAAATTGCATTTACTTATATTTGGGTCTTCAATTTTGTTCCATTGATCTATGGGTCTATTTTTGTGACAGTACCATGTTGTTTTTATGATGATAGCTCTGTAATACATCTTAAAATCCGGTATAGTAATCCCCCTGGAATTGTTCTTAGTGCTCAGGGTTCCTTTGGCTATCCGAGGTCTTTTGGGCTTCCATATGAATTTAAGAATTTTTTTTCTAATTCTCTGAAGTATGTCACAGGGATTTTGATTGGGATTGCATTGAAAAAAAATATATATCTATATATTGCTTTTGGTAGGATG